TCTCTCTCTCTCTCTCTCTCTCACACACACGCTCTCTCTCTCTCTCTCTCTCTCTCGCACATGCACACACTCTCTCTCTCTCTCTCTCATATGCACACTTCTTCAAACAGCACGTGAGTTCTCAAACACTTATTCTTCGCTTGAATGTTTCAATTGATGAGGCTTAAAAACGAGTAAAGTTTTTTTGAATGTTTAGTTGAAACACAGATAGTGTGTGCTGCTCGTGTCTCACCTAACTTTCAACACCCGGGTGACGAAGGCGTAAAGGACTGGTATACTAGCGTGCATACGGTGTTGTTTGTCCACGTTTTTTGATCATTGCTGTTGTAATGTGGGAAGCCAATAGGTCTGTTTTACGCGTTATTTTCAACAAACCATACTCTACATGCATGGTCAGAGTGGAGATGAGCCGTGGTGCAAGTGGGGTCAACCTCAAATGGACCGCGGTACGTACCAAGAGTCTCGTGGGTGGTGTATCGCTGTTTTTCAGTTCCGTCTGAATATCGTTACACCCCTAACGTTAAGGCATCATGTTGTTTTGTTGACGGTGCACCTGCTCTAATTCAGGGGTTTTCAAACTTTTTGGAGCCAGGGACCCCTTACAGGGGAGAGGATTTTCCAAGGACCCCCTCATTTACCATATTTTCCAGAAAGTTGCACCAGGTCAGGGGAAAAAACAAAACATAAGTTGCATCGGTGTGCAAGTCGCATTTTACTATTACTTTCAGAAATAATTTAAATACTGAATAGGTCCAAGTAAAACGAATGTTAGGAAAAAAACATTATAAACACTAACATTCATTTTACTTCGCCTCACTCAAAATCGTTTAAATTTAGTGGCATTCATAACAGAACAAAAAAAATGCATATGTATAAAATTGTGTAGTGAATTCATCAAACGCACCATCGAACGTATAGACTACTCTAGGAAAAAAAAACTAACACCCAGTATAATTAATTACTGAGTAATGAGAATTTTTAAATATGTTAAGCATTTGTTGCGTATGTTAGGGTGTATCAGCGTGGGGGCGGGGCGTTCCCTCTTTTCCTCGCTTTCCTTCGCTTTTAAACGGTATCACCGTGGGGGCGGGGGCGTTCCCTCTTTTCCTCGCTTTCCTTCGCTTTTAAATAGCTTGTAAAAACGGCATGCGCATTTTACTTTCACTTTCAAATAGCGGCAGTTCAGCGTCAATTGCTTGAATGCAACAACAAAAAACTACGTCAAACTCACTTTAGCCTATATATATATATAAAACATAGAACTTTTTATTAACAAAACAAATAAAATTACACCATGCTATAGGGCAGACTATGCCTAATATAAAATAACAAATAACTTACATAAAGTTTAAATAGGTATACAAAACTGGAAATAGGCAATAAGTAAACATTTATAATATATAACCAAATAAATAAAAACCTAGAACGTTTATTAGCAAAACGAGTAAGAAAGCTTGGAGGCACAGCATACACCTTGATGCCAAATAAAATAAATAAATTACACAAAGTTTAAATAAAGTAAAAATCAGCAAACAATGTGGAACCAATTAAATAAGAAACGAATGTTTAAAAAAA